TCTGACCCTAGTTACCCTTTGCTGTACAATGGGGACAGTGACAGTAAACTTCTCTCATAAAATGATGCAGATTAATAAGTGAGTTAATGCACTGCCCAGCACATGGTAAGGAAGAGTTAGCTGTGTGGGCCTAATCTTCCCCTAACTTAATGTTGTTCACATTCACTTCTCCTTGTCCCCGTTTCCCCACTTTATAGTTTGTGTTGGGGGTGATACCTCCAGAGTGTTTTGGAAGGAGATGGAGAGTGAATAAACTGCCCCTTCTCACCACCCTTTTTCCTCCAGGTTCTTCCATTTGGCATTTGAAGAAGAGTTTGGAAGAGTCAAGGGTCACTTTGGACCTATCAACAGTGTTGCCTTCCATCCTGATGGCAAGAGGTAGGGCCAGTGAAGGGAGCTGAGCTCAGCTTGGGCCTGGTCCCTGCCCCACAGGCCCACTCCGTGCCCCTTTCCCAAGCCCTGCCTCATAGGCCTGCCTCCTCAGAGCAGGCATCTGACCAGTCCCGCTTATCTCTTTGCAGCTACAGCAGTGGTGGTGAAGATGGTTATGTCCGCATCCACTACTTCGACCCACAGTACTTTGAATTTGAGTTTGAAGCTTAAGAAGCTGTGTCTCTATCCTGGCCAGGGAAAAGTTTCTGGTTTAGGGCTCACAGAAAGTTTTGGACTCTGAGAAATAATAAATTAGTTTGGAAATAAATGGATTCTGGTCAGATATTTTATGGGGTTTAATAATTTTCCCTTCTCAGTGTGACACCCCAGTGAGCTGCTATCCAGGCAAGGAGACCTTGATTATTTGGACCTCCCTACACTTTCTTTGGACACTTCAAACCTGGAAGTTCAGTATTACGAGCAAGGCTGGTTGCAGGCACCTTCATCCAAGGTCCGAAGGTGCTGTGGGCCTGGAGAGGTCTCAGGAACATCGCAGCCACTCTAGGAGATGCCAGCACTTAGGGCTGGGGCTCAAAGGTGCTGTGGGCCTGGAGAGGTCTCAGGAACATCACAGCCACTCTAGGAGATGCCAGCACTTAGGGCTGGGGCTCAGAGGCTGAAACCATTGGCTGAGAGCCTTCTGTCTTCTCATCTGTCACTATTTGCCACACCTCCCATGCTACCTCTGAAGGGGGAGGGGGGGACGTCCAGCACAGAAATAGGCAAGGAAGTTAAGCAGTGCCCATCCGGCTTGGCTCAGTAGATAGAGCATTGGCCTGGGAACCGCAGGGTCCTGGGTTCGATTCCTGTCAAGGGCATGCACCTCAGTTGTAGGCTCCTCCCTGGCCTGATCCCTGGTCGGCTCATGCAGGAGGCAACCAATCAATGTATTTCTCTCACATTGATCTTTTTCTCTGTCTTTCCCTATCTCTTCCACTCTAAAAATCAGTGGAAAATATCCTCGGGTGAGGATTTAAAATATATATATAAATATATATATGAATAAACAGTTTTGTATTCTGGGTAGGAGAGTAGTGCATCCTCCTCAAAGCACAGAAACTCACTTAGGACCTCCTCTGGTACTACCATCATCTGGAGACAGGGAATAGGTATAGCTGGGCAGGGGCTGGGACCTATACTGGGTGTGTGAGTGTGTGTGTGTGTGTGTGTGTGTGTGTGTGAGAGAGAGAGAGAGGAGGTTGTTCCTGGGAGGCAATTTTCAGTGTAATGTAAAGCAGTGCTTTTTTCCAGGAGATGGGGCCTCCAGGGTGTCATGAGCTCTGTCAGTGGGAGGGTGCAAGTGGGGACGTCTATCTGGCGGCATGGCTACCAGGAAAGGCTTAACATCCTCAAGGTTTCTGTAAGATAACTCCCTTTACAATCAGGAAGAGGCTTGCAGGAGAGCCTAGGAAGCCCCTTACCCCTCCAGGGGCCAGTGCAGCCTTTCCAGCCAGGGTAGGCGGCCTTGGATTTAGTGCCGCCGCCAGTCCTGCGGGCCTGTTTGGCGGTCTAGGCCGAGCAAGTATCCACGATGATGCCCGGGCCCCAGGTCGAGCCCCAGCCAGCACAGCTCCCAGCAGCTCCTCCTCCTCGGTGCAGCGCCGCTTCTGGGGCCTGGTCAGGGGCTGGCTGGATCGTAGCAGCACCTGCAGACAGGGACTGGGCCCCGGGAAGCCGTACCCACCAGCCCTGGCTCACGAACTCCTCTGAGAGCCCCTGGGCGAGTCTACACTGGAGCGGCTCAGAGCGAGCAGGCGCAGGAGCCTTCCGAGCGGAATTCGCAAGCCTCGGACCCGGTCTGAGTTGCTTGTGGTGGGACAGGGAGGGGCCCGATAAGCAGACCTTGTGCAGGTCCTGTATTGACAAAAGAGGGACTAGGTTCAGAGGCCCGGCCCGGCCCGACCAGGGGGCGGGGCCACGGAGCTCAGACCCCGAAACCCGGGAGGGGGGGGGGCCCGAGTGGAGGAAGACTGGGCGGGCAAGGCCAGTTGGAGACAGGACCCGGCGGGGCCAGAAAAGCCTGGAGCCAGGGCAAGAGCCAGGGCCGCGGCGGGGCAGCGAACTGGCCCGGCCAAAGCAGGAAAGGGCCCAATAGGGACGCGGTTGGTCCTAGAGGCGGAGACTGGGGCGGGGCGGGGCGCACGGTTCCGCTGGGAGCGTGGTGGTAGCTGAGCCCAGGTTAGCGGCCTCCCGGGCGGAAGCGGGCGCTGAGCGCCACGGCCTCGTTGTCCGCAGAGCGAGGCACGATCACGGCGCGGGGGTCACTGGGCACAAGCTGAAGTCCCTGTTCATCCCGCTCAGCCTCCGTGGGTCGGTCTGCAGCGCAGGGAGGGGCGAAGGCGTGCTCTTGAGTACCCAGTGAGTGCCATGTCCCCGCGCCCCTCCCAGGCCCGGCGCGTCCACATCCCGAGGCGGGTGGAAGCGCCAGGCGGCGCCCAGTCTCAAGCCCTTGGGACGGTAGAAGAACAGATAGGAGGTGATGACCGATTCCAGGGAAGACAGCGCCTGGAGAAGAAGGCAGGGGATCTGGGAAAGGTGGGATCATCCCACCCACACCTTCCGGCCCCTCGGGTCCGCACCTCCCGCCTCTCCAAGTACTCCAGACCACCCGGGTACCTAGCCATTAGCTGTGCCCCGGGATAACACTGGCTGCTGAATGCTCTTGCTCAGCGACCCCCTTTTACTACCATGGTTACGGGACAGGGGTAGCGTAAGTGCCTCGGGTGCACCGCAGCGTACCTCGACGGAGCGGGCTATGTCCAGCGTCGCGTCCACGCCCTCAGTGTCCAGCTGTAGCGCGCCCAGGTCCTTACAGCGCAGCGTGATGGTGCCAGAGTCACCCGCGACCCTGGGGATGAACGCGTTTAGGCTCAGTGTACCCGGCTCCCCATCAGGGAAGGAGAAACCAGTTATAGGATTGGACGTAATGCATCATCTCCAACTGCACTTGCTCTTTCCCCTCACTCCACGGAACCGCGAAGTCCCCAACTCCAGGGTCGCCCCCGCCAAGCTCACCGCTTCTCGATGGAGTCAACACTATGCAACGGCCCAACAGCCGCAGCCAGAGGCCCAGAATCGCCTGGGCCCTGGAGACAGCAGCAGGTGGTGGCCGGCAACGCACAGCGCGCCACGCAGTGGGGCCGCCTCCTGGCCCCGCAAGAGCTCGGCTTGGGCCCGGCTGGTGCGGATCAACTCTGAGAACTCCATTCCTCCGGAGGTGGGCCTGGGGCCCAGCAAAAGGACAGACTCCAGGAGTGTCAGGCGGGGCAAGCTGGGGCCCCAGAAGGGACAGGAACTGGCTGGGCACCTGGCGCCCCGCATGGCCAGCTGTCGAGGAGGCCCCTTAGAGGAAGGATAACACAGTTCCAAAGAACTGTCCCCCTCTTATTGCCAGCACCTCTCAGCAGGACCCCAGGCAGAACTTGTTAAGGAAACCTCAATCTCACCATCTGTGAAATGGGGAGAATAATCTTGCTTAACCCCTTAGCCTGGTGCTTAATTCGCGTGAGGCACTCAATATTTTTGGCTTTTTACTTTATTTTTTACCAATATATTTTTATTGATTTCAGAGAGGAAGGGAGAGAGAGATAGAAACATCAATGATGAGAGAGAATCATTGATCGGCTGCCTCCTGTACGCCTCCTACTGGGGATTGAACACAAAACTCCAAATTGAACAAGGGACTCCAGTCCACAGGCCGCTGCTCTATCCACTGAGTCAAACTCGCCAGGTCAATAGTTTTGGCTTTTTAGACTGGAATGCTGGCACTCTGGCTGACTTAAAAAAGAAAGAAGAATGCCATCTCTTCTTCTGGACCCTGGTGGAAGGGGTGGAAAGTGTGGGTGTGAAACTGGGAACTGCCTACTTCCTCCCTCACATCTGAGGTTGGGTGTCTTCCTTAAATGCAAGCAGCTGTGTAACTGGCACCCCGCAGCCACCACGCGGATGTCCCTGCCTAAGGGCGCCCTCTATGGTGACCACTTCCCCGGAGCCCCGTTCCCTATTGCTCCATTCTTTGCCCATACAATGAGCTGAGTTCTGTGCTTAGTGTTGTAACCAAAGGATGACTGAGTTCTGTTCATAGGGTTTACAGTCTGGCAAGAGTCACACTTCAACTGGTAATTTACACGAGATAACCCAATTTACCGGGGGACTCATCAGCCCATCCATCCAATTATTCTTTTATTTCTCAAACACTGATGCCTATACTGTGTTAAGTACTGATTATTAAGAAGACGAAGATGGACTCCTGCCTTCAAAGGGCCTTCTGGTCCACTAGGTTCCAAGCTTTTGTGTATTCATCAAGCTGTGTATTTATGATATGTGCGTTTTTCTCTGTGTGTTACATTTCAATACAAAGTTTAAAAAAGGGAACTGCACCCTAACCCGTTTGGCTCAGTGGATAGAGAGTCAGCCTGTGTGTAGACTGAAGAGTCCCAGGTTCGATTCCGGTCCAGGGCATGTACCTTGGTTGCGGGCACATCCCCAGTAGGGGGTGTGTAGGAGGCAGCTGATCGATGTTTCTAACTATCCCTCTTCCTTCCTCGCTGAAAAAAATTAACAAAATATATTTTTAAAAATTAAAAAGGGAACTGCTTGTGTTGAAGCCCTGGGAAGGGCCAGGAGAGACGGGTCTTGGAGCCCATCCACAGGTGTGCCTGATCCTGCATGCGGTCTCTGAGAGATTTCCAAGGAACCTAAAGTTCCTTAGAGCACAGCTTAAAATCAAAGATCTGTCCCAACAGAGAGTCGGTGACTTATCCAAGGTCCCACACAACCAGCGTCAGAACCCAAGTCTTCTGACTCCCGGGCCAGGGCTCTGGACACTTCCTTTGCCATGAGTGAGGACAGAGGGCAGCTCGTCAGCTTTCTATCCCCTCCCCACTCCCTTACGTGGGTCTTAGGAAGAGGGCCAAGAAGCTGGTGTTGGTGATGCTTTTCTTATCCTGGAACAACTTCCTTTCTGGGAAACTGGGTGTCTCCTTCTGGGCAAAGACAATAAAATTCATCCAAGGGGCCAAAAGAGCAGGGCTTCTTCTGTCGCCAAACGGATGGGCATCACGTGGCTCCAGGGTTAGCAGTCCTGGAAAATCCCAGCCCTTGCCACTCTGCCTCCCACACCCATCTACTCACTCACCCTCACACACTCAGCCTCCCGACCCACCTTGAACATTCACCATCGCACCCTGTTCACCCTCAGCTTCTGCCACCACTACCTGGGCAATATTACCAGCCTTTTCCTAATCCCAGAGCTGCAGTCTTGCTTTGTCACCCGTCCCAGACCCACCATGTCCCTGAGGCCACTGAAATTCCAGGCAGTGGGTGAAGAAAACGAGGAGGAAGAGAGCCTGGATTCTGTGAAGGCGCTGACGGCGAAGCTGCAGCTGCAAACACGGCGGCCCTCGTATCTGGAGTGGACCGCCCAGGTCCAGAGCCAGACCTGGCGCAAGGCCCGAGCTGGGCCTGGGCCGGGGGAACCTGGGGCCATCTGCGGCTTTGACTCAATGGACTCTGCCCTTGAGTGGCTGCGCCGGGAGCTGGTGAGTCTGGTGGGGTGGACAGCCTTGCAGAGGGCCTGGGGGACAGTTCTCCAAGACCACGGGTGTGGGGTGGGAATGGATCCCGCCCCCAGCAACTGCGCGTTCCTGTGGCTGTGTCCTGAGGAGCCAGGACACAGTGTTTTATTCAGGAAGACTTGCTGGAGGATTCCATTCAGTCTGCTGACCTTGTGCTTTTGAGGCTAAAGGCACAGAGCCTGCTCTTTGGGCCACCAGTTATCTAGATGGGGAGGGCATGGCCTCCCCTACTCTAGGAATTGCTATATCCAGAGACACTGTGAAGTACAGAATGGGGCACTCTGGAGGCAGAATCTGAGGAGCGAATGTTGAATAGGTGGCTCTTAATCCAACACGTGTAAATGTAAAGAGGTCCAGGCTCCCAGTTGGAGATTCCACTTAGTTATCTGGGATGGGGCCTGAGGCACCTGTATTTGTTTAATGCTAGATTCTTCTTTAAATTTTTCTTTTATATATATATTTTATTGATTTTTTTATAGAGATGGAGAGAGAGAGAGAGGGAGAGAGAGAGAGAGAGAGAGAGAGAGAGAGAGAGAGAGAGAGAGAGAGAGAGAGAGAGAGAGAGAGAGAGAAACATCCCACAGAGGGTCAAACCAGCAACCTGGGGTATGTGCCCTAACCAGGAATCAAACCCACCTCCTTTTGGTGTATGGGAGGGCGCGCCAACCAACCCAACCTAGCCACAGTGGCCAGGGCAATGCTGGCTTTTTAAGAAAAAAAAATTTTTTAATTTATTGATTTGAGAGAGGGAGAGACAGAAACATCAATGATCAGAGAGAATCATTGATCGGCTGCCTCCTGCACGCCCCCTACTGGGGACCGAACCTGCAACTTGGGCATGTGCCCTTGGCCGGAATCGAACCTGGACCCTTTAGTCCACAGGCCGACGCTGTATCCATGAGCCAAACCAGCCAGGGCAATGCTGGCTTCTTAGCTTGGTTTTAGAACCGCTCGGGCAGAGAGGTGGGGAGGGATTAAACTGGGAAGAGAAGGGATGTGGAGGACACAGACAGTGCAAAGACCCAGGGTGTTGACAGAAAGGGAGGGACGAGCGGGCGAGAGCGGCTGAGGGCCCAGGCAGCCGGCTGATGCCCCCTCTCGGCTGCAGCGGGAGATGCAGGCTCAGGACCGGCAGCTGGCGGGGCAGCTGCTTCGCCTGCGGGCCCAGTTGCACCGGCTGAAGGTGGACCAAGCCTGTCATCGGCACCAAGAGCTGCTGGACGAAGCTGAGCTGGAGCTGGAACTGGAGCCCGGGGCCGGCCTGGCCCTGGCCCCGCCGCTGCGGCACCTCGGCCTCACACGCATGAACATCAGCGCTCGACGCTTCACGCTCTGCTGAGGGGAACCTGCGTGCCTACTGAGCACCCGGTACCCTTTTCCCCCACCCACCTGGGGGGAAAAGGTGTGCCCCAGAGGCACCAGCACCTGGCAGGAGAGGGGGTTGGTGGGTACACTCAGATTAGATCTGGGAGCATAGAGCCCAGCATCCTGTTCCTGCTGCTGCCCCAGCTGTGTGTGTGTGGGGGGGGGGGGGGGGGGTAAAGCGGGGGGGGGGGGGGGGGTGTTGGGCGGGAAGGGGTGGAGAGAGAGTTGGAGAGGGGCAGTAGGAGCTCACATAATAAATACCTTCTCTGCTTCCCATCAAGGTCTCTGCAGTCATTTATTCAGGCCAAGGTCGCTGTCTTCTGTTGCTGGGACCAGGGATTCATTATAGAAGAGAAGGCCTGGGTTGGGGGTGGACACGGACTAATGGATCCTGATCTCCCCCACAGCTCTAGCTCTATCTATCTTACCAAGATCAGAACTGAGAAAAGCCGAAACTGGTTTGGCTCAGTGGATAGAGCGTCGGCCTGCGGACTGAAAGGTCCCAGGTTCGATTCCGGTCGGGGGCATGTACCTGGGTTGCGGGCACATCCCCAGTGGGAGATGTGCAGGAGGCAGCTGATCGATGTTTCTCTCTCATCGATGTTTCTAACTCTCTATCTCTCTCCCTTCCTCTCTGTAAAAAATCAATAAAATATATTTAAAAAAAAAAAAGAACTGAGAAAGAACTTAAAATCCTAAATGACCCCCATGGAAGTGACTTGGGTAAATGAGCATCTGGAGAATGCAGGACCTGCCAGACCTGGATTCAAAGCCCGCCCACCATCTATCTCCATCAGACCTTGAGGGGGTCCCGTAACTTTGGACTCTGTTTCCTGACCTCTGAAATGCAAGTGCTAGTTCTCACTCCACAAGTAGTTGGACCTGTCTTCAGTGCGACAGTGCACAGCAAGCACTCAATAAACGCAAATTTCAATGGCTTATCATTGCTGTCGCCAGCGCCATTCCTACTGGGCTGAGGCCCAGAGATGGCCTGTGAAGGGAGCTTCGGCTGCAGCCCTGGCTCTGGGCTCCGTGTCACTGTAGTCTGCTGTGTGTTTTCTGTTAACTTTGTCTCTCTCTCAGCCTTTGTTTCTGTTACCCTCTTTGTCTGACTTTCCAACGCAGGCTTCCTCTTCCCCCACCCATTTCCTGTCTCCCCTTCCCTCTGCAGCTGAGGTGCACACACAATCAGCTTCCACCTCACAAACCCCAACAATGCTCTGCGGGCTCCCCTCCCCCAACCGGCTCACTCAGCGTAGCTCAGGCAGTGGCGGTAGTGAGGCATTCATAGTTTCCTCTGGGAGGGGGTCAAGCATCTTGGGCCTCATAAAGGCCACCTAGCGTTTCTCCTAACACCGGTGACCCGGCCCTCTGCCTATGATGGTGCCACCCTCAGTGTGGCCCCAGGTTAACGGGGGATTCTTGGCCTGCTTGTGCTTGAGACAGGGTTCCTGCCTCCTGCCTATAACAGAAAGTGCTGCCAGTCCGCTGCCTGCAGCTGGGTGCCCGGGGAAGGGGTGTTTGTTCTGTCTTCCACTGGCTGCAGGAGATGGTGCCCTGCCCCATACCTTTAACAGGGTCTCTGGCCTTGCCTCTACCTGAGTTAGAAGTGGCCCACTACTCTCCAACCGTAGTGTTGTCCTGCCTGCTTCCAGGCAGATGCTGGCTGTCCAGCATCTGCCTGGAAGAGGAGTGTTAGTTAGCCTACCCTCTGACTGTAATAAGCGATGGTCCTGTGCCCAGAAATGATCCGGCTATTTTCCTGACTGCAGTAGCCACGTTAGCTGGCACCTGCCTATAGCATGGGGGCCCTGCTCTCCGCCTGCCGAACAGGGTACTGGACTCTCCTCTGACTCGGAAGTGATGTTGCCTTTGCCTCAGACTGTAACGAAAAACTGTGTGAGAGCAGTGCTTCTTGCCTTTCACTGACAGCTAAGTGTGTGTGCGTCTGCCTGCCCCTGCTCTTCGGGGTTTAAAGGCTGCCCTTGCACCTCTTGTCCAGGTGCACCCTGGAGGTCAGGAGGGAGGTAACATCAAATAGCCTCCCTTCTCCTCCAAGTGTCACCCTCAAGGTGAGGAGAGCTAGGCCTGGAGATGTACAGGACCCTCAGGGACTGAGGCACGAGTGACTCTGGTGGCAGGAAGCTTGGGGTGCTGGAGGCTTGTGGTTGGGCTACTGGGGCCCTGTTGCCTGCGGAGCCCTCAGGAGGAGGCAGGAAGTCAGGGTGGGACGTGGGCGCGAGGAGTCAGGTGGTGGCTACCATCGCGAGGAGAGCTGAAACTGTCTGGGCAGCCAGGCTAGGCCAGCAGGACCATGTGAATGGGGCCGGAGGGCTCCTGGGCTGGGCAGGTAAGGAGACTGGGAACAGGGGTCAAGGGGCTGTGGTTGGGAACCTGATATCAGGGGGTGAAACTAGACATGGGGCCAGGCTGCCTGGGTATGCAGCAGCCCTGCAGGCTTGGGGGACAGAAGAACCTTGCTGAAGGTCAGGTAGGAGGCATGCAGTGCAGCCAGATCACCGCTTTCCTGTGTAGACGTTGGCTCTTGGTTCTGCCGCACTGCCCGCCACGGCCTCCACCTCACTTGGAGATCTGGCACATGGACTATCAGGTATTAAAAAGAGCTCGCTTTGGCAGCACATATATAAAGAGAGAGAGAGAGAATCCCCAAGTCCAGTCGCTCATCCCACGATGGATGAGCCTCCTACACGCAGAGAGGGCCCAGCGCTCCCCCCCGGCAGGCCCTCAGCAAGGCGGTGGCAGGGCCAGGTCTTGGGACAGAGTGACTGTCTAGGCTGTGACCTCCCATGAGGCAGGGTAGTGGACAGGCTTGAGTCAAGGGACCCAGAATCCTTTTGGTTGCTGGGGCAGAACCCAGCGACAAGAATCTCCTGAGAGAGATCGGAGTCACCCAGAGCATCCGAATGGACATGAGTGAAAAGGTCTTAGCCGCAGTGACCAGTATTGCTTGAGAGAGGGAGGAGTCTCCGGTTGGGAGTGGATGGATATGTGAGGGCATATTTATCATCTAGGATGGCGCCTTCCTCTGACTGGACGCTGGGAAGTTGGAGCGGAGAGTATAGGGGGAGAAGGGGAGAGGAAGGGCTATTTTAATCCCGGACAGGGGTGCAGTTGGCCCTGAGAGAGGAACATCTGAACTTCCATCTGGAAAGTTGCCATTCCTGCCGCTGCCAAGTGTCACAGGATGTCCTCCCCTCCCCCCTGGCCTGCTAACTACCCCCTGTCCCCCACCACCCAGTGACTGCAGGTGTAGGGCCAATTGGTCCTGTGGATTCCTGCTTCAAACCCCAGCAGGTGGAGGCCCCGGAAAGCATAGTCAGCTAACTGCCCCCTCACCCACCACCTAACTCAGCCTACAGTTTGTGGGGGGAGTCCCCACCTGCACCAGACCGTCCAGGTTTCCTCTGCCATTGGAGTTTTTCTTGACACACAATTTCCATCTAGTCAGCATGTCCCGACCTTTCTCCTGTCCCTAGCTCCAAGGCCTGCAGACTTTGGTGGGGGCTGGGGAGCACGCGGACTCTCTCTGAACCCAGGGGGCTCACCCACACCCTAGACAGGCATAAGCAGTCCCCCTTCCCACCAACCCAGCCTGTAGTGATAGATGACCCAGCGCTCGAGGCAGAGGTTCTTCTCAAAGGGAAAAAGTGCCAAGTGATGGGGCCAAGGACAGGCGAAGGGTTCAGAGGGTGGGAGAAGACACCTGGAAGAGTCAAGGCAGTTCTGAGAAGGATAATGGCCCACTTCGGAGAGTACCTAAAACATGAAGCCATGGTCTCTGTCCCTGGGTTCTGTTCCTTGTGTACCATGATGGCAGAGATCTCAGAGCAAAACCAAATGCAAGACAGCAGATGCAAAAAGCACGCATTTCAGAGGCAGGCAGACCCAGGCACAATTCCGGTTCTGCCATTTTCTTGAACAAGTGGCTTCACCTCTCCGGACTCTAGTTTACTTATCTCTAAAGAGGCAATAATGAGTCTCTCCCTTACAGAGTGCTTGTGGGTACTCAAAGAGAAAATAATGGCTGTGATGTGCCAGGGTACTACCCGACACATAGTAGGTGCTTAACAGAGGTTTAGCACTCCATCTTCCTGCAAGTGTGCACCAAAGGGAGGGATGCCCACACCCAGAATTACTCCCACTAAGCGCCTTGGCAAACCAGTGAACCACCCATTCTCACACACTTGTGGTGTGGCTTTGCAAATGAGCTTGTTTCCTGTGTATAGTGGGTGTGAGAATTACAGACTAAACTACAGGTCTACCTTAGAAGAGGATCCCTCATACAGCTACACAAACACCCTACATATCATCATTGGGAAATGTATATATTCACATGTGTTCAGAGGCAGAGGCAGGGACTACACATACAACACACACTGGACCCTACAAATCCATATACACACCCACAAGCTGATGGCTTTAAGGCCAAGCTTAATTCAGTGAAAGCAATGCTGAGAGGAGCTGGTGTGTGGGTGGCATGGGGACAGGCGAGACCACAACACTATCCAGGGATGTGGCCCCCTCTAAAACCAACATTAGTGTTGGTTTAAAAGCATCTGCAGATGCATTTCCAATGCTTGTTCTAAAGAACACCAGTTCCCTGAGGCGCCTGGAAAGAAAAGGGTTCTGGAACCAAATCAACATGGTCTCAGCTACAAACTGTCCTGATTAGCTTCACGGTGGACGTGAGCTTGTTAAAGCTCTGGAAGTCCTTCCAGAGAAGGAGCTGGGTAGACTTTCTCTAATCCAGTGTTTTCCAAACGTCAGAACCTTTTTTGCCCCCAGCATCACCTCCTCCATGTCTACCCCTTTGAGACAAGGAGAAGAATGGAAGGACGGGCTGTAGAACTGATCTTCCTCAAATGATCGTGTTTCTTAGCAGAGTGTTTGCATTGATGGTGGTTTTATTGTTTGTGTGGTTTTTTTTTCAAGTACAAAAGTAGCACAGGATTTGAATTTTAAAAATTCAAACAGTATCGAGGCAGGTAAAGGAATGCAAGAAATGCAGCTTCCGCCGATCTCACTCCTGGGGCGTGCTCACTGTGGACTATTTGGTGTGCATTCTTCCAGAATTTCCTATGTATGGCTACTACAAAGCCTGGTGGTTAAGAGCCTAGCCTCTGGAGGCAAGTAAACCCAGGCTCAAATCGCCACTCCACCAGTAATTTGTTTGTTATGAGACCTCAGACAAATTGCTTTACCCTGTTTGGGCCTCAGTTTTTGCATCTGTAAAATGGGGATAATAATAGCACTTACTTCATAGGATTATTATGAGAATTACATGAAATCATGCAAATAAAGGCTTAGCAAAGAGCCCTGCTTAAAAGAACCCCCTATACATATTTAAATGCAAATACGCTTATACTCTACATTCTGTTCTGTAACTGCTGACCATGCTATATCTGGGATGTCTTTCCATGTCAATACGTGGCGATCTACCCCACCTTTTCAAGTTAGCTAACCGTCACTAACTTGGTAAGTGGATAATGGTGGTGATTTTGAGATGCTAT